CTAAAGGCAAATATTAAAAAAAGAAATAAAGCTCCAATAATGATTATATATTGAGAATAGCATGTGCACATCTGGCCACTAAAGGAGAGCGTACACTACAGCATGTCCCCAAGGATCTCTGTTCCCACAGCTGTTTCCTGCATTGAAAAAGATTTTGAAAGACATATTTTGAATGTAGAGTTAACAACATGATTAGTTCATGTTTAAATTGCATATGAATTTAATTGTTTAACTTTAACATAATTGAGGGTTTCACTAGTTTTTAATAGAAGTAGCAGTTGTTAGATGCTGGTTACAAACATTTACACCATAACATTAAGAGTATTGCATCAAATACAACAACTAAATGTGTCCACATCCACATTGTTGAAAGGAAAAACATCAAAAAACAACGTGACTGTCTTGAGGCAATAGTATTTTGTGTGTAGGAGTCAGAAATCTGAAAGTGGGCATAGAGAAACTGACACAAATGATTTTTGTGTCAGGAATTGAAATGTATTTAAAAGGATGTGGTAATATTGTAAAAATTAATGTATACAAATAATGTATTCCTTTTTTTCATCATAACACATAAACACAATGATAAGCATTAACAGAAAGCAATGTCAAATGTCTGACTTATGTAAGACACAAAACTCTGCAAACCAATTCTGAACTTGTTCCAAAAAGCTAGAGGCATTATTCTGGTGCAAAGATCCTGGGTAACAACCTGGGTCATGGTATAATACGGTTAGCACAAAACTCATTAAAAAAGTCAAACTGACTAAATGAAGTAATGGATATGCTTTTGAGTAATTGTTGTGTCATCAGAATGTTTAATACAATGAGACCACAATTTGTTTTTTTGTGAAAGACCACCACAAAGCAGTAGACAAATATTATTGTTTAAAGACTTTATAGATCTTGCCACAGTTTCTGGATTGGATAGGTCTGGATTTCGACTGGGCCATTCTGACACATTCATGTTTTGTGTTAAACCATTCCGACAGTAGCTCAGTTGGTAGAGCATTGGCCTTTAAGCCAGAGGGTCGTGGGTTCCAGCCCGACCTTCACCATCGACTCCCACTGTCTGCTTCCTTTGTGTCCTTGGCAAGACACTTAACCTCTGGGAACACCAGACACAGTGGGGTGGCTGTAAAGTGCCAAACTGCCGTTGTGTCCTTAGGCAAGACACTTCACCCCCATTGCCTAGAATGAGTCTGGTGTGTGTGTGAATGGTTGGTGGTCGGAGGGGCCGATGGCGCATACTGGTTGCCTCGCTTCTGTCAGTGTGCCCCAGGGCAGCTGTGGCTACAGTAGTAGTTTATCACCACCGTGTATGGAGTGAAAGAATAATAACATGTAAAGCATCTTTGAGTGTCCATTATTATTATTATTATTATTATTATTATTATTATTCCATTGTATGAAATAGGGAAATTGTCCTGATGGTAGAAAAACTTCCACCCCAGTCTCAAGTCTCTGCTCTTTCCTGTATACAGTTGTCCTTGTAAAAAAGGTTTATATTGCTCAATTTGGATGATAGGCGTACTATAGTCAATTATAATGTCTTATAAAAAAACCACCTGGGTCAACACAGTATTTAAACTCTGGTCAAAAACCATCAATGTTATCTTAGGACTCGCCTCAAAAAAGTCAATAATAGGGGGCCGGAATAAGCTTTGTGAAATATCAAGATTGATGAAAATAAAAGGTACAGGTAACATTCAATAAAAGACAGAGAGTTCACAAAGAATAACAACTCTAACAAAGCTTTATTAGTTTGAGTTTTAGGGTTTTCTCCCCCTCTGGCCATACCTAACAACACATTCATTTGAGAAAGCATCCAACTAAAGGACTCAGCACACACGACTTATTGAAATTGGGCCCAAAAAATTGCTACATTTTTTTACAAAACGGCAGGTAATTTGAATAAAGATATACAAAAAACAACAACCCACATGTCAATTACACTCTGAATATTAGCCAATATGTGAATACTTAGCTTAATACTAGCTTTTTGTAGGCGGATATGAGTTTATGTTTTGGGCATCATTTAAGTGGACTCAAAAATGTATGTACAAGACTGTCCACGTTTATGATTCATGAAAAGACTAAACATCTAAGCAATGGCAGAAGGCAATTAATACTCATTTTTATGTAAAAAGTGATCAGTGAAACAGAACTTGGCATGAATAAAAGATCAAAAAGGCTGTAAGAACAGTTTGACAAGTAGAAATCTGCAAAAAAAAGCTCAAATTATAACTGTTAAGACTTTTTGCACTACAACAACTGTAAATGTAAAACTTGATGAAACATACACTGCGAAAAGGTGAAATGTGGTGGAAAGTATAATGTGGTGTAAAAGTACTTTGTTTTGTTAAAAAGTACACAGCCCCTCAAATATGCATAACATGTTTTCCTCGTTCATCTCCACAGCAGAACACCGTCTGACTAAGCAAAGCCATTGCACTGTGGTACTAGCCCGGAGTTGGACTGCGGATTAGGGTTGCAGACGTTGCGACTAATTACACCTTGCAGGAATGTGATTAGTGGAGCAGTCCTAGTAAGCAGGTCACAGGAAAAGACTGATCTATATGTTCTGTGGCACAGTAAACTAAACTGCCACCAGCTTTAGAGTGGACCAGATACATATTATAGACCACACGGTGGTATGATCCACATAATAAATAAAATAAAATGTTTATTTAGATTTCATTATTACTTGCCACAAAGATTGTCGCCTTTCTGCGTCAACACTTGCTCAGGCTGCCAAATTAATAATTCCAGTGAACATTTCTATTCACCATGCTGTCAAATAAACAAAGTAACCTATGAATAAACTTATCTGTTTTCTGTTTCTATGACAACATTTGCCACGTTTTAAGTGGCCTTTTTTAAGTGAAAGGTATTAATATTAAACATACAAGTCAGCCTCACAGAACATAATCTATTATTAAAAATTATATTGTTATGAAAACAATACCACACTGCTTCTGCCCGGCAATGGAATGAAGGCAATGAATGATGTATGCTTTGACGTTTTATTGAAATCCATGAAAGGAATGAGAATAGGCCTCATTACTTCAATGGACATTTCTAACAAATCTGATGAAGATTAGGTAAATGTACAAATAATGAAGGTAAGGCAAGGTAGTCTAAACTGCCTTAAGTACAAGCTACGACTTCATTTACAACCAGGGCCATAACTAACAATTATTTTGATTATCAACGAGTCAAACGTATATTCTTTCAAGTAATCAACTAGTTGTTTAGATCACACGTTTTATCTAAATTTGATGCAGAGAAAAGCTGAAGTGAAGCAACTTGAGAACATTTTAAAACTTGCAGATATATTTCCATATGAAAACTGTTTAAAATATAAAATGAGGAGAAGCAGTCTACGCAGACACACCCAGACTTCTCTATCCATGTGCACTTCCTCCAGCTCATCCAGGGGAATCCCGTCATGTTCCCAGACCAGCTGAGGGAACAAGTCTCTGCAGTGTGTCATGAGTCTTGGCCTGAGTCTTGACCCAGAACACCTCTCCAGAGAGACATCCGGAGTGAAGCCACCTCAACTAGCTCCTTGCAATGTGTAGAAGTATTTACAGATTTTCTGTATATTTTTTCTAGTTACTGTCATCATGTCTATGAGAGAAGATATAATTTGGTGTCTGTACAATTAAAAGCCCTTTTATTCCATTGGTTAATCTGTCTTTTTTTGACCAATGACAGTTTCATGTTTGCTTTTCTAACCTGCTTTGCAAATCATGTTGCATGTCCTTCGAGACAACGTTGGAACTATACAAACACAAATGGATTTGATTTAAAATAGTTGACGATTATTAGAAAAAAACTGAAATTTGTCGTGATTCATTAATTAATTCAATTTAATGTATTTTTGTATAGCCCTACATCACAAGGTTGTCGATTCACCAACATCAGATTGGGTAATCAAACAGTTTGAACACAGGAAACGCAGTAATAACAAATAGGAGTCATTGGCCCATAGGGGCCGGATGACCGTATCTCCATAAATGCTAATATGGTTAATTTATGCTAATTAAATGTGAACAATAATTAATTATTGCAAACCTCACAATAATTAAAATATATGACACATGCATACAAAACCTTTAAAGAAAGTACAGTATCATCAAGAAGACAACATTTATCATTAATATTCTCTTCATCTTCATGTAGAGATAAATCCATGCTTTCATCAATTATAAATATAGAAAAAAATACATAGAATAAAAACCTAGCATGTAAACTATGTACAGGTAATTTTTGTATAGCCCTGAATTGTGATTTAGAACAAAACAAGATATTTGAGAAAACTGAATTGCATTAATATCGTGTAGCAATGCATCATCACAGTGTCTGACGTTCACTTCGCTATTGCGTCGCTAATCGCAAACTTGACACCACGCTGCCAAGAAAACACAACATCGATGCAAAAATCTAGACACATTTGACGGACAATTGGCACACCTTGCATAAGACAAGTGATGTTTGTTTTTTGTTGTTAAAACGCGGAACTTATTTCAGATTTTGACCGAAAGAGCGCATATATTAGCATAGCCCCACGGGTACCGAGCACAGGCACAGGCTTTATGTTAACTTTTTCTAGTGAAAGTCTCCTCCTGCACCCTTCTTCTTCTACCGCCAGGACCAACCACCACATCCCTGGATTCATGCTTATCCTGCAGCCACAGAGACCACCATCACTAACAATGCTGCCTTGTCCGCGTTTGAGCCTAGTTTCAACGGGGACAGTGATCAGCAAAGTGACCGATTAGACGGAGGCACACGCGGGGACAAACCGAGTGAACGAGTGCGTAAGATGACGTTACAACCCCTAAAAACGTGCTATGGAGGTAAGAGGTTTGAGTTATACAGCAGCGCCTGAGTATAATCCAATTGGTACACACACATTGCCTTTTTTTAGACGATGAAATCCAACGTGCCTACCTTGGTGTCTCCATCCCTTGTGGTCCTGATGCTACTGTACGCCGCTACTGCCAGCCGCCTGCCCCAGCATCGTCCAGCAGCGTTATTCGACCGGGGGGGACAGCACCGTGGCGGGGCTTCGGAGCTGACGTGCGCTGAGCGGACCAATGAGCAGGTAATCCGGCCCACGCTTTGCCAATCCGCTCAAAGGGAGAAAGTGAGCTCCGCACAAAGGCTGGGTATTAGCAAGGTAGATTGACGCTGTGGGAGAATGTATGACCCAGTCTCGTGGATGTATTATTGTATATTCTCTAGCCCTGTCTAGCGTGGTGATTAATATTGATAAATGATACAGTATCATACTATTAAAAACATTAAAGTGGCATCACGCTTCAATTATCACTCAACAAAATACATGCTTATACGAAAAAGAACCTATTTGCTTATTTTTTGCTTTGTTTGCAGCCATAACACATGCAGTTTTATTCCAGTAATCTCCCATTTCATTATGTGGTGTTAGGCTAATGTAGTGTTGTTGTGTTTTTCCCTGTCAACACACTTGGAGGTCCACATTGAAGAGTAATTGGAGAACAAGCAACTACATTCGGTTTATAGCCAATATTTGGCAATAACTAAAGGCTCAGCCAATGATGGTTAATATTGAACTTTAATGGATGTTACGACTTCCATTCTATTCTTGAAGCATGATTCTCATGTACTGTAGTTTTTATCTTTAAATCCTCTCAAGGGCGGGGATAAGGGCGGGAGATTACTGTCAGCATGTAAGAGACATGATGAGTTAAGCAAAGTATTGCTAAAGTCTCTAATTGTTATTTTTGTCTGGTAGATTGTTTGTTTTAGATTGATACAGCATTTATTCAATCCCAATTAGCCCAAGGCTACACTCCGGAGTGATATGTTCATTAGCATGCACTGTCTCAACCGAATTTATTTGATACAACATGTATAATTACGCGACAGTAGCTCAGTTGGTAGAGCATTGGCTTTCAGGCCTGAAGGTTGTGGGTTCAATTCCCACCTCTACACCTTCTCCACCGACTCCCACTGATGACTGCTGTTGTTGTGTCCTTGGGCAAGACACTTAACCCCACTTTGCCCAAAGCCCCCGCTGAAAGATCAAGGCTATGCTCACACTCAGAGAGCAGCCGTCCTCCTGTGGACTCACCACCTGCAGAGGGTCAGTGAGGGGCTGGTGCTATGAGACTTGGGTGGCATCTCTGACTGCCACCCCCCTGACCCAGAAATGGATTAAAGGGAAGAAAATGGATGGATGGATGGATGTATAATTAACTCTTTTAACCTTTAAAATGTTCAAAAACACTACTCAAACTCTTTCCATATATTTTATTGCCCTTGGATCTGCAATAAGTGAACCAGCCTGAGAGCATCACAGAATCAGGAACTTTCTTGTACAAAGCAACGTATAACCATCTAGTCTAAAAATACATGTTTTATTTAAAAATATTTGAACATTTGTTCATTATAGGATAAAGATATCCAAAACAAGCAAAATTACCAATTCATCACCTATAGTATATACTTTCAATATTATATATAATATAATTCCAAGATCTTTTTAATTGCTGCACGCCAGGTGCTATAAAAAAAAAAACAAGTTTAAGCCTTGACAAAAATTACAACTGTGCAGTCCCCAGACTGACATTATTGCTATAAAAAGAAACTCGTTTTATTTGTATAAAGATGAACAAATGCAGAAAAGGGAAATAATAGGATTTTATATTCTAAAAATAATTAAATAAAACCATAGTCCGCCCTTGTATTTTGCAGTAGTAGAAAAAAATATTTATGACTGAACAACAAATCATTTACAACTCATTGTTTGGCTTTTTACAGCCACCTCTCACACTTCCACTTTGCACATTCATCCTACTTACTATTCAACCTGCTTCTCATCCCAACACCATTTACAAGTATATACAAGGTTCCTTCCACATCCTTTCAACGCTTTCATCTATTTTTCCTTTCATTTCACTTGACTAAATACCATCAGCTAAAACATACTTTTCGGGTCATGTGTTTTATGTTGATTTGATTTGAATAACCTCACAGGACACTTCTAGGAACAGCTTTTCTGTGTTGCAGTGTGGGTGACTCTGGGGCATTGTCTGCTGGGGGCCAATGTGGTTTAGTGAGCTGAATGTCATCTTCTATTTTAAAAGATTTCTTTGGGTGGTCTGCCTGTGGGGGCCATACAACAGATATTTTATTACCCTGCGGTTTGTTTTGATCTGAGGATTTTGTTGCTATATTTTCGTGACTGCGTGTTTTGTACTTGTCCACTGAATTTAGGCCACCAGTTGAATATCTCCATTCATCCGAGGGGATAGGTCCACCAGAAGATTGCTGTGCAAGTCCATTGTCATAATTCCCTTTGGATTTCAGAAGTTGTTTGTAATGATGTAAACAGTAGAAGTGTCCATGGAGAGATACATAATTTCCCACGCTAAAAAGAAAAGAAAACCAAATCACTTTTTGTCAACAATTGCAAGTCTATGTCTCCTAAAATGGTGCCAAAATTACCTTAATTTATTCCTACAGTGCTCACAGAAGAAACAGGATTTATGGTACTTTTTTTTGTCTACTATCAGGGCGTCCATCGGATAAGCTCTCCTCCGACAAACCGTGCAGAGCTCTGACTTCGGAATTTGAGTCTGTGGAAAAAATATAAAAACATTATTTTATTTCCCATATTAATCATTACCTGCTTATGCACAAACAGAAGTTTACATGCATCAAATCATAATTTGTAATCAAAAGTATTGTCATTCATTTGCAATTGACATAAGGCACATAGTTATAGTGTTGGTGTCTGTTGTTGATGAATTGAAATAACATGTTTTTTCTGTAGGTTGTTGATGTCCATTGATCCCTGTCAATATATCAGCACTACAATTATTATGCATTTGTCATACTGTGGTTACTGATAACACTTGGATTGCATACAGCACAGCTAACACAATCTATGTTTCAGGATAATACCATTCAATGCCATTAGTTCAAATCCATGCCTTTTTGACACATGCTGAACATTTACCAGTTTGTTCAGACAGAACTTGTGAGGTCTCAGATGAAACGGTGTAGCCAAGACTCTTGAAAACTGTCTCACTCTCTGTCCAGGTTTTGTGGAAATTCTTCAGCAGGTTTTCAGTGGCTTCCTCATCATAAGTTTCGCTTCGCTTCGCTGCTTTTCGTCTAACTGCATCAGCATAGGAGAAAGGCACCCGTTGACTGCTCTCTGAGTGCTGGGTGACAGCTGACAATGTACCAGCGACCATGTTGCCAAATTCATCAACATTTGAGAAGTTTTCTGTGAATGTTTTCATTTCGCTAAATCCAGATGGTTCAGCTGGCACAGTTTCCACTTGATTCTTTCTGTGGGGAAGGGGGCTGCTGTGTTGTGAGGTTGGCTTTTTATCTTGAGGACTTTCCCTCTTTGAAGTGTCTGCTGTTTCAGTCAGTCTTGATATAGACTCCTGATCTTTTTTTGTACATTTGAATAAGGAACTTTGCTCATCAAGTTCAAAAACATGTTTAATAGCCTGGATGTCAAAATTTGGCATTTCTTGTTCTGCCTTGTCTTTGTCAGCACTATCAGCATCATTGTGAAGCCGCTCAGCAAGATGAATGGGCTCTTTTTTATCTGTAAATGCTTCCTCATCTGGTGATTCAAATTTGTTTACAAGACATGAAAGGTCTGTCTGGGGAAACTCATCTTGTTCTTTTTCTTTAACCTCATTTGCACACTCCTCCTCCGCATCAGACCCTAAACGCTCAGGAATAGAAATGGGCTCTTTGCGCACATAGGTTTTATTAATGTCTGCCTTTTGAGCCTCTTCAAAAAACTCCATCTTTTCTCGAACCGATGCAAAAGTCAACTCAGAGATTTCCTCATCTTCTTGGTCAACTAGGGGAGTTACACCTGTACAACACATATTATTCAAAAGCATTTCTTCAATTTGCTTTGTTGAAACATTTTCACCAGTTGTTGATGTTTTACTTGTGGTTTGCTGACTCTCAATTTTAATTTTCTGATTGAAAGACGAAGTTGATTCTACAATCTCAGATTTATTTCCTGTTATCTGTGTTGTTAATACTGGTGGCGGCGTTACACCGCGTGAGAGCTTTGCGGTAGTATCTTTTAACCTGGCAAGGTTTTCTGCTCTGTCAAAAGTCGGAGAAGGTGTGATTCTTGTGAGGCGAGATGGAGTGTCAGACCTGCGTGGTGGTGGTGTTGGAGGTGTGAGTGGCCTGTGCTGTCGAGTGGGAGAAGAAGCCACTCTCTGTGGAGAATCAGTTCTACGTGTTGATTCGATGGCGATAAAAGTTGGTGAGGGAGGCCGCATCCTTAGCGAAGGTGAGGGTGCCCGAAGGTCCATGGATTTATTTTGACTTACTTCCTCTTTTCTTTTTTCACTTACAGTTGTTATTTGGGTTTCAACTTTAGAAGAACCAATACTTATTTTAGATATTCTCTGTGATGCTCCACTTGAGGAAGCCTTTTCAGAAACCAGTTCACATTCATGTTTTTCCAACTCCTCAACATCTTCTGTCACAGTGACCGGAACAACTCTGCTATCTTCCTTTGTGCTTGACTGCAAAACAAACATTTCTTTTTTCTCTGATTCTCTAACTTGCTTTTGTTCTGGAAAACTTTTGATTTCTTTACTAACTGCAGTTGTTACATTTTCTTTCACAAATTTCTCTTCACGCACACTACTGTGAACCTGAGAAACGGTTATACACTCTTGAATTTGTGAAGATCTTTTGGTCTCTGCAACCTGTACTTTTGATTCAAGTGAAGTCTCTTTAGCTTGAAGTGATTGCACTAGATTTCTGGACTTTTTGGACTTCTTTCTCTTCTTTGGTGGAGTTTGAATTTCTGAAGGTGCAGAGGATATGGAAACAGTATTGTTAGAGGCTGAAACTGTGGCAGCCTTGTTCTCTTCCAAATGTTGTTGAGATTCACTGACAACTTTTTTAACCTCCACGTTATGTTCATCATGAGAGACATGGTGTTTAGTATCAACTTTGGTTTGGGTTTCCGTGGGTTTATCTTGCTTCGTTGCATTTTTGGCTTTTTGTTGACCTTTGCCGAATTTACCATTTGTGGTATCAGTTTGCAGTGGCTGATTATTATCTTGTTTTTTGGATGGAGATTTATCCTTTTTCTTCTTCTTATCTAGTTGAGGTGAAGTGACTCCTATCTGAGTTTTATTTGAAATATCTTTTGTAATATTCTGGGCCTGAGCTGTGTTTGTTAATTCAGGCTGAGTTTTGCAGTCTGTTTGTTTTCCACCAGTTTGTGAAATAACATTCTGCATGGTTAAAGTACTTTCCTTTCTTCCTGATTCTTCCAGACATATGGCATTTGTTTTTTGGCCAGTGATATCTATCTTTCCTTCAATAATTGGCTTATTTGTATCTGTTTTAACAGACTCTGCTGAGGAGATAGAAACTGTTTTCTGTGTTGATGTAGTATGTGATTGTTGCTTAACCATGGAAACAGATGAGGTTTTCTGAACAGAGACAACTTTTACACTCTCATTAGAAATACTTTGCTGTTTTGCAGAAGACATAATTATGTCTGTTACAGTTTTCTCATTGCCTTTAGTGCGTTTGGAATCTGAAATCACCACCTGCTTTGATGATTCGTGAGATTTTTCACTTCTTTCCTTTGTAATATTTGATTCATGTTTCCCAACCACCTCAGCCTCCGTTGTAGAAAGTGTTTCAATAGCAGTTGTTATCAAATCAGGCGTGTAACATGGAGGAGGAGTTGGTGTGGTCGGAGGTGTACTCTCGTCACGAAGCCGGCGAAACTTCCCTTCAGCTTGCATTAGTGGCGTGTTGAATTTACTCAATTTGCCTCTCATGAAAGGTGGCGGCGATGGTGGTGGTGTGAATCGTACTGGAATAATGACTTTCTTTAATGGCTGTGGTGATGCTAATGGTGAAGGGATCTTAGTGTGAATCGTTTTTGTTGTTGATTGGCATGTCTCTACAAAAGTTTTTCCAGATGTCACAGTGACCTCTTTTCTTTTGCTCACTTCAACTTTAGGTTCCAGTTTTGGAACAGGGTGGACTGTAGGGCCTTTAACCTTTTTCACTATCATCTTCTTGGCTTTTCCTGGAGAGGGAGGTGCTGGCATACTCTCCAGTTCTTGTTGAGATGGAGGAGGTGGGAGGAAGTCTTGTTCACATGGAAGTGGTGGAGGAGGAAGATGATCACTGTCAGATTCAGCAGCTGGTGGTGGTGGTGGTGGGAGGTCAGTATCAACGGGCGGAGGTGGAGGTGGTAGAGGCAAATCAGGCTCTGGTGTATTGGATTGCAAAATGTAAACATCCGTTTTTACTCTGGTTTTATCCAGTTTTATCATACCCTTGGAGGAAGAATTTAAATTCCGGAACTCTGTCTTAAGGGTTTTAATGCCATGATTTTGCTGTATAGTTTTATGTTCTACCGACATTGATTTTGTAGTTTGAGTTTGATTTGTGTTTGCAGTTTTGATCTTTTGTACATTTCTTTGTGCATCAGTGCTTAGATTTTTAATTGGAGGACTCTCTTTCACTCGCACTCTGCGGTATTGTACCTTAGGTGCTTCTCGTTGGGCATTTTCCATCAATGATTTTATCGTGCCTTTGACATCACCTTTTAACACCTCTTCCTTTTCCATCTGATTCTGCTCTTCCTGTGACTCGTATAGAGTCTTTATAGACATTTTGACATCACCCTTTATGTCCTCTTCAACACTTGCTCTTCTCTGCATTCTTGGAGAAGCTGGAGGCTCCATAAAGATTTGAATTGTGCCTCTCACATCTCCCTGCACATCAATTTCTTGTTGACAAATCCTCTTTTCTGAAGATGCATCTTGCAGACTTTGCTTTGCCAAATGAATGTCACCTCTTACTATTTCCTCCTTTTCAAATTCCTTTACTTCTTGCTTTGCTCGTTCGAGAGACTTTAGAGTGGCCTTGACATCTCCAGGCACTAAATCATCAACAGCAGGTTCAACTCTGCTTGTTGTGGACCTCTCTAGGGACCTCAGAGCCCCTCTAATATTACCTGGAACAATGTCTGGTTTCTCCACTTCTTTTTGGCGCCTCTGAGCCCTCTCGAGGCACCGCAACGCTTTAGGAATGTTACCCTTCACTACTTCTTCTTTCTCCATAACAGCAGTTTGATTTACTGATTCTGACAATGAGTTCAAAGCAGCTCTTAAATCACCTTTGATTATTTCTTCTTTTTGTACATTTGCAACACTTGGCTCTGACATGAAAACCTTTACTGTATTGTGAACATCCCCAGGTATAACATCCCCTACAGTTCGTTCAATGTGTACATTGCTTTGATTGAGGATACGTTTTGTGCCTTTAATATCACCACCAATAATCTGCTCTTTTTCTGCTCTGTCAGAGTATTCTTCATCAGCCCCTGAATGCAGCTGTTTAAGATAATCAAGAGCCCCTGACTCAATACAAGTGGAGTAAAAATTGACATTTCCCTTTTCAACCTCATCTACCTTTATCTTGACAGATTCATCGAGTCCGTCTTGGTTGGACAGTCTTTGTAGAGCACTTCTTATATCTCCCTTTACAATATCCTCTTTCTCCACAGACGCAGCATCCTGCTTATTCAATAAGGAGTATAATGTCATTTGTACATCTCCCTTTTCGTCTTCCTGGATAAGTATTCCATGCTTTGCTGACATACCCTCTTGGAAAAGGCTGTTTATTGCTTCTCGAATGTCACCACGTAGAATTTCCTCTTTTTCAACACTACTCTGCTTCTCTTGACTGAATAATTGTTGCACAGTTGAACTAATATTCCCCATCTCTTCTGAGTCCACCACCACTTGTCGCTCATTTTTCTTTTGTTGATTAAGTAGGTTCATCATGATTGTTTGCAAATCTCCCCTGATGACATCTTCGCGTTGAATTTCAGGAGCCTCTTGATTCATCAGTTGGTATTTAGCCATTCTCACGTCGCCAATTTCGTCTGCTTCAATAAGTATTCCTTTGGATCGAACCATCTTTTGACTATAAAGCTCAGTGAGAGTTCTCTTAATGCTTTTGCCCATTATTTCTGTCTTCTCCATTTTTGTCTCATTAAAGTCATCAAATGGTGTTGTTTCAAAGAGCCATGTTGTAGTCCGTACATCAGCTTTGGGAATTTCTTCTTGAACTTTTGTGGATTCTGTGTTTTCATCAACTTCTTTGATATGATCAAGGGGGTTTTTCTCAAAAAGCCACACAGATTGTTTAACATCTCCCTTTGCATTATCTTCCCTTTTAACAGTTTCAATGAGATTTTCAGCACTCATACTTTTTATTTTGTCAATGGATTGGGTTTCAAATCTCCATTTTGCTGTTCTCACGTCACCTTTTTGTATTTCACTTACATTTACTGTTTTGACAGACTCCTGAGATGAGTGATCCATCTCAAATCGGTGTTTATTCATTCTGACGTTTCCACCTTGAATATCATCCACTGTTCTTAGTAAAGCTTTCCTTTCTTCACTGATTCTATCAAGAGGTTGGGTCTCAAATTTCCATTTGGCAGATGTCACATCCCCTTTCTGAACATCTTGTTGCGTAACAGATTTTATTATATAAACTTCATCTGTGTCTTTTATGGCATCTAATGGTTTTGTTTCAAATAACCACCTGGTTCCAACCACATCCCCACTTTTTACTTCTTCACTTGTAACTGTGGTGACCTCATGATAATGACCTTCCTTATCTTTGATGGCATACAAAGGCTGAGTTTCAAACATCATAGTGTAGTTTCTCACATCACCTTTTTCTTCTTCATCACAGATAATCTTTCGCTTTTTAATTTCTTCAGTTTCATTGTCTGAAACATCATGAATTTTATCCAAGGAGCATGTTTCAAAAATGAAGCGACCCTGATTGACGTTTCCTCCTTGTATGTCATAACTTATGCGGCTACTATTATGTTCCTCTTCATTGTCATGTATCATGTCTATGGACTGGTTTTCAAAACGCCATTTGCAATTCACCACATTTCCTTTTTGAATGTCCTCCGTCTGAACCCTCTTAAACTTTTGTCTTGCTTCTTCTGAGGTTGAGGTCATTATGTCAGATGTTTGGTTTTCAAATATGCACTTCATCCTTGACACATCCCCTGAGGAAATATCAATCTCAGTAATGCGTTTAAATGAATTAGCCTCTTCCTCTGTAAGGTTTTCAAAATGGTCAGTCTCAAAGAGAAAACAGGCCGTTCTCACATCTTTTCCTGTGATTTCTTCTTGATCCACGGTGCGTGTTTTCATAATTGTCTCTGTCTCATCGTGGATTGTATCAAGTGCTTGAGTCTCAAAAAGCCATGTGCATGTTTTTACGTCTCCTCTTTGCACATTTTCACATTCACCTTTTTGGTCTACTTTATCATACAGGACATCCATGGGCTTTGTCTCAAACAACCACTTGCATGTCTTCACATCTCCTTTAACGACATCAAGGTTTTTTGTTGACACAACAGTCTCTTCATCCTCAACGTTACTGAAGTATTTTATAGCATCCAACGGCTGTGTTTCAAATAGCCATTTTGCAGTTTTGACATCACCTGACTCAATTTCTTGTTTGGAAATCCCCTTGATAATTTGGTATGTACTGATACTTTCATCAAACTGGTCTATTGGCCGTGTTTCGAACATCCATTTGCATGTTGTTACATCTCCTTTAACAACCTCTTCTCGTCGCACTGTTTTCACTTCATGAAAGTGCCCCATGCTGTCTTGCATGGCGTAAAGAGGAGATGACTCAAACAATGTTTTGTTTGATTTCACTGATCCAGATTGAACCCCTTCAATTAATATTCTTTGAGATTCATCAATTTTTTGTTGCATATCTGTGCTTTCAAAAATGTTTTTATAGTTTGAAACATCAACTTTATCAATTTCCTCCATGTCAATTGTACGAACAATCTCCTTCTTTTCCTCTCTAATTTGTTCCAAGGGTTGGCTTTCAAACCTCCATTTTTGATGACGCACATCACCCTTTTCTTCTTCAAGATGTACAGATTTTTTCAGTTTTCCTACCTCAGAAAGCTCCTTTGTCTCTTCTGCCGGAGCAGTTTCAAAATAATGTCTTGCTGATTTCACATTGCCTGCAATGATTTCCTCTTTTGTTAAAGTAGAATTATTTGAATCGTCCTTTAAACGATCCATTGACTGAGTTTCAAAAACCCAACAGTTTTTGCGTACATCAGCCCTGCAGCTTGTTCCATCTTCCTGTGTCAGGTCTCTCTCAACATCTACAGTGCGAAGAACCTGTTTTCTCACTTCTCCAATCTGCTCTAATGGCTGACTCTCAAACCGCCACTTTTGGTGTCTCACATCACCCCTTTCTTCCTCACTCAGTGTTCGCTTTTGAAGTTTTCCAACCTCTGTAGATATTTTTCTGGATACTTGGGGGCTGCTTTCAAAATAGTTCCTTGCAGATTTGACATTTCCACCAATTATATCTTCAATTGTCTGAGGTTTAGCATTGGAGTCATCTTTCAAAGTATCCATTGGTTGTGTTTCAAAAACCATGCAATGCTTGCGCACATCAGCTCCAATGATTTCTTTCTTCTCAAGTTTTGACCTTTCCCATTCAGTGAGAGAACTCAGTGTCTTTATTTCAAACAACCATCTTCCCCAGTCACCCTTATTACTGTCCTCCATTGAAAGACTGCATACAAGCTTGAATGTAGAGGATTCTGTGTTGGACAAGTCTAGTGGCTGTGTGTCAAAAAGCCAACGAGAGGCAATAGAACTCTCCATTTCTGTCTCAATTTTACGTACAGATTTTACTTCTAATATCTCACTGGCTTGTCCCATGATGACACACTTGAACTGGGTGTCAAATGTGCTGGTGATAGTTTTCATGTCTCCGTTAATTTCTTCCAGTACTGATCGTAATACTAGCAAATGGCTCTCATCAATTGTCTCAGTGTGCCCCAGGGTTTGCATGTACTTATTATCAATCATGTTAATGGTAGAATCTCCATCTTCTTCAGTGAATACAATCTCTTTTGTTAAATCATGTTCCTTTTGTTTCTTGTTTAGGTTGTCCATGGCTTCTGTTTCAAATAACCATGCTGCCGCTCGCACATCTCCTTTGTCCAATTTATTGACTTTGTTTTTATACTCTGATTTATCCATGGGCTTTGTCTCGAACATCCATGCAGTCCGTCTGACATCTTTACCGAGAATGACTTCCTGTTGAGTTATCTTTTTGTCGTCGTCATCCTCATCTGGAGATTCATCCCTGATGGTGTCCAGGGGCTTATTTTCAAACATCCAACGCATTGACTGTACATCCCCAGGAAGAATCTCCTCCCATTCATCCTCTTCATACTGTTTCATTTCCTCCTGATCTTCTTCATATGAGAATTCTTGGTTCTGGACTTGAACAGTTTCCGATTCATTGAAGTCGATCTCCTTCTCAATGTTTTTCCGAACCTCGGGATGAATGTGTTTGTAGAGCCGTTTCAACTCATTCTTGCTCCTCTGTTTGAAGTAGGCTTCTCTGCTGAGGGGACACTTGGAGGGTTGTGCTGGTTCTTCAAGCTCTGGATTGTAATGGTATACTGGAAGATCGTGATTCTCTGGTGGCATTTGCAATAAGTCTGGAGGTGGGGGTGGCAGGTAGTCAGAATCATCAGCAGGTGGAGGCGGAAAATCATCATACTCAATCATTGCTGCTCCGGTGTTCTCTAGAGAAGCTGCAGTTGTAGATGCTTCATACATTTCACTGGACGCTGTGGTGTTCTGGGTCATGTTTGAAGCCCACTTAGACCGATTGATGTCACGGGTAATCTTTTGAAGGACAGAAAATATATTTCTAGATTAATTTGAATTGAGTCAAATTATACATTTTATATTTGTAAAATATTTGTTCATATATGCATATATGTTTTCAATTGGTTTCATTAATTAGAAAAGAGGAGGTTTGAATGTCCACAATGGTTTACCTTTACTGGATTGTGGGGTGCTGCCTCCTCTATTGTTTTCTCAAAGTGATCTCTCAGCTCTCTGGTTGTGTATCTGGGAAAATTCTCTTCTGGGAAGGAATGTGAATGTCAGCATATGACTAATTTAAAGATCTTTCATATGGATATATTTCATAACTTACCGGTATCGTTTTCATAGTTTTCATAATTGACATTGCCACTATAAGAGACCTAAGTTTTGGAACATACAGAAAAAGGAAATATTTTGCTCATTCAAAATGTGAAAAGTAGGAATAAAAACAAAAGAACCAGACAATACCATATTTTGGTGGTTGTGGTTTAGCTGACTAGCTGGGAGGGAGTTGTTGCTCGACACCGTCACTTCAGAGTTAGACATTTCCTGTGATGATGAGGAGAGTTGGTGTCAAACACAGTTGACTTATGTACACAAAACATGCACACTCCCACATCCACCCTGATTACTCCATTTATGGCAATACTACTTTGCCTTGTCATAATTTACACCAGTCTTCACTCACAAAAACAAAATAGACAACAAAATACCATTCAGTCAAGATGCACAAACAAATTGCTTGACACAGATTAGTGAGTGATCACAGATGGAGCAAGGATCAAAAGTTGTACCTTTTAACATGCGTCGACAATGAAAAAGACCTAGTCTCATGCTCTCTTGCTTTTTAACATCTAGAGCAAGCATAACTCATGAATAAAATACTCAAATGATCTCTAAAATTATTAGCGATGCACCGAACGTTTTCAAGTCTGATACCGGCCCGATACTTTGTCTTCAATATCTGCCGATGCCCATTATGAACCAATACCAGTGAAGAGACTGCAGACAACATGTTTATCCCTTAAAATCTCAGCAAATCAGTTCAAAAGTTTTTAACTACGGTTTTTTTCAAAGTTTGTTAAAAAGTTAAACATACTGTATAGGTAATTTGGTATTGGCAAAGATCAGCCTGTAAACAGACATCAAAATATATGCCTTCTCAAGATTTATCAACTGGACTGATCATCAAGTCAAGTCATAACATGAAGTCCTCATGTCCAATATCAGAATCGATATTCAGGGCCAGTATTGTATCGGTGCATCCCTAAAAATTATCCACTAATATACTCAGCAATAACCCAGATGCATCATATACTGTAATACCTGCACAGCTCTGTGTTGATAATGAAACTGGGTAACACTGTGTGATGATGCAATTTCTTGAGTTTCAAATTGTCTCCTCACACTAGCAATTCCCCCAGGCAAGGAACAGAGCTCTGATTCCTCCATGACCTAATGAAGCAGGAAATATCATTAGCGGCATCCACTTCTACATAACCAGAAATCAAACTGTCTCTTAAAAGGGCTCTTGTATTTAGTTGCCATGAAGCACATGCAGGTTTAAACTAATGTCATCTGCACTCGATCTTCTTGCTATACTACAGTATCTTAAACAATTTTAAACACAAGGCTTAAATTGTAGACAATGTTTTTATCCAATACACTATCAGCTACACCACACTATATTTCTTCTGTGTCTTTCTATTTTTACATGCACAATATGTGTATGCGAGGTGCCATTCGTCAAAAAGCAAAGCTGTCTACACTTCCACTCATACCGCATCAAGTGCAGAAATGGTGGCGCTGCAGTATTTTAGACAATAATATTCAAACTCCCTCTTTAGTATGCGCGTTTGGAGTGCAGTCTGAGGCACTCCAAGACGAACATTTTCTAAAGCCTACCAAAGCTTGTTGGACCTCCACGCTTGTGTGGGCCCTCTTTGAAAGCAGTTTACCTATTACCTATTTAAAACGAACGGGCGGCACGGTGGCTGAGTGGATAGCACTCTGGCCTCTCAGCAAGAAGGTCCTGGGTTCGAATCCCGGTCGGACCAGGGCCTTTCTGAGTGGAGTTTGCATGTTCTCCCCGTGTCTGCGTAGGTTTCCTCCGGGTACTCCGGTTTCCCCTACCACTAAAAATATGTCCAATAGTTCTAGCATGCGCCTCCTGTACTGGCGACCCCGCTCCCATCTCTGTGTGGAGTGAGAGACAAATGCCCAAAATTAACAATTGTAAACCGCTTTGAGACTCAGATCTGCAGTGAAAAGGCGGTATATAAATAAAAACTTACTTACTTACTTACTATTTTTAAGAGGACATTACTATGTATATGTGCATTGACATTTCTAAATCCACCCACTATGCCAAAGCAATCTATAGAAGCTGCAGTATCATCTCCATGCTCAGTACCCCGCTGGTGTTGTCTGCTCGCTTGGAGACAGCTGCTTGGTACATGGCCACAGTTGGTCAGTGGGACGACTCTCGTTTTCAAAGTGAATTTGGTTCCTCTGGTTACGTTTCTTTTCTTTTTTTTTGCTCTGGTGAGACTTTTGCTGCCAGCAGCTACGTGACATAAACAGTGAAAATATGAGTGTTATGTTTATGTTGATGTAATGCTTTGTGTTATCGCTGCAATATTCACTCCACTCTGGATCAGGCATGGTGAGTTCCAAAGAGAGTAGTTATCAACTCTATGGTTCTATCCAAATACAGCAAACGTATCTCCTTGCTTATCCTACTTTGTTCACCTTTTAAAGATGTTTAAGGTAAATACTCAATCAAATAAGAAGTAAGATCAAAGAAAAATAAGGAAGGATTTTTTTTAGCACGATAGAATGATATTACTTTGTTTCTATCTCTTTATCTATCTGTTTGGCTTTTAGTTAAGTCTTTTTCTTTACTTAATACCATGGGTCACAATCATATCAAAACTATCAGGCACACTAATACATTGATATAGTTTGGTAAATGCCCCTTGACGTAAAACGAATTATTTGAGCTCTCAAACTGTAAATGAGTCTCCCAAAAAAATAAAACTAATACTTCATAATGAAAACAACACATATTTTATGGCGTTTTTTCTGAAGAAAGTTTTTAATTTAAGTGGCAGTGCTTTTCTCATGAAGCAGCCTGTGAATATGCTTCCCCCTGTTGAATCTGAAGCGGTATAGCAGGCTCTACTGACTAAACCTAGCACCTTGCCCAGGTTTTCTGTGTTGAACAGAAATAGGAATGTAATACTATAAATAATTGTTAAATACAGGTGGTTGGCTGTACTTTTTTTGGCTCGTAAATATCTCTTTTTAAACATGATTTTATTAGTTATTATTATATTCTCCCATTTTAAGAGGCCTGACTGGAAGGTGTCATAAAATACCTAATTTTACAAAAGTCTGTCAACAGTGTGAGGTGATATCTCCTTCCATTAAACTGCAAGCTCAAATAGCAAGAAAGTGAAGTAATCTAGGCGCCATGTTCATGCTAAAATAAATCACACCTATTTTAAACTGAACCATGAAGGGTCGTGTTTCTTTTCAACTCAAATGTAGATTCATGAAATGTAGAACCAGGAGGACAAGGTTTACATTTAATAAGCGAGGTGCTTTTGCTTAGGGGCTGTTGTTGCATTTTTTAACATTTAGTTGCTTTCATCAGTTAAAGTAAAAAGTAATCATTTTTAATTTCTCAAATGCATGCACTTTGTGTTCTTTGTCGGTATGTTTGTGAATGTATGTTGACCAACCTGTAGTTCATATTTCACTATGAAGCTTTGGATCATATACAAGTTATAATTATGTCACTGATTTAAGTCACATTGCAGTTTACACAATAATCCAGTTATTGCCAAAGTTTGACAATGTCTTACCAGTATAGTAGATGACAAACGATAAAAGCTCAGTAGAATCCCACACAGTGGCCACTGCACCCCGGCCTGCAGGGTTTATCCAAACCAAAAGCAAATCCCAGTTGGTCTTGGAGACCAGCTCCAGTGCTCTGTTTTCACCTCTGTCCAACGAGTAGACAGTGACAGCTGATTTTATTTTAGACCCTCCGCCCACTTTCAGAGGAAGGGTCTGGCCGGATTTTTTTTGGGAGTTAGACCTTAGTGCCTCTCATGACATGTGCCCCAAAAATCTATATGGATATGCTTCCTGTAACTCTTACAGAAGCTGGGGTACTAATAAATCAGGTCATCCAGGTTTCATCATCGCAGCTTACAGGGGCAGCACTCAACAACAGCTGTTACTGTCTGTCATGATGTGCCCACACATCCACAACAAACTGAATCTCATTATCTCTATTACTCCTCGTAATCTCCAAGCAGTGCAAAGTGAATGACAAACAGGTGCAAATTCTAGAGACAGTAAATGATGATGAGAAGTGTCGGCCAGGCAGTGCGCTCTGCAGTTGGTCTGAAACATGGTCAGTGAAGTAATGCTACTTGTTCAGAGGAGGGGGCCAAAAAGGCTGTAAATACGAGAGACACCCCTGAGTGTGGAAGTGCATGCAGTAGCCTGGCAGACTGTGGCGCCAGCCAGACTCTGGTATGAGGTGGACGCGCTACGGTGTGACTGCTTTGACACGGCCAAGGCATTTGGTCAGTTTTGCCCATCTACCGTAACTTATATCTAAGTGAGCAAATGTCCTAAGATATTAGTTAGAACCACAAAATAACAAAATGTGTTCATGAAGTTGCTTGTTAAATGACCATTCCTTATTAAATATTTTTTTGTTTTATTATTTTATTTTGTGTGACAAGAACTAACTAACTATGGCAACTCTGTATTTCAAAATGTAAATTAAAATTTGCATACAAATGCATTATTTCCAAATAATGTTATCAATATGTTATCAATCGTACGTATGTCCTTTGGCAACAGAGCCTGTGAAGACTGTCTCCACAGTGTTTGGATCGCTCATGTTCTTTTCATGAACCTCCACTTCATGTGATCCATTGCAGAGTTAAACCCCACAGCGAGGGCAAAGAGCCAAGAAGAGCAAAGGCCTTTAATTTGGCTCACTGCATATTTTTCTGTATTATTTGGTTAGCTTTGCAGCATTTATTACATGTTGAAATACAATTTCAACATTAGGGCGGCACGGTGGCTGAGTGGATAGCACTCTCACCTCTCAGCAAGAAGGTCCTCGGTTCGAATCCCGGTCGGACCAGGGCCTTTCTGAGTGGAGTTTGCATGTTCTCCCCGTTTCTGCGTAGGTTTCCTCCGGGTACTCCGGTTTCCCCTACCACTAAAAATATGTCCAATACAGTAGTTCTGGCATATGCCTCCTGTACTGGCCCCTCCCATCTCTGTGTGGAGTGAGAGACAAATGCCCAAAATTAACAATTGTAAACCGCTTTGAGACTCAGATCTGCAGTGAAAAGGCGGTATATAAATAAAAACTTACTTACTTACTTACTTACTAATTTATGCTACAATATCCCCACTAACTAACCTTGCTTCCAGGTTAGCTCCTCACAAACATGTGCACTGGATATGTTGAAAAGCCCTAAATAGTAGTGCTCATTTTCCGTTTGAACATGATGTCACTCTTGCAGATGAAAGTAATGGGTCATTCAAAAGATTTGATTTCCTATTGTAATGAATGAGCAGAGCGTGTCTATTTGTAGTAATTAGTAATTTAATATACAACTGTAGATGAATAAAAGGTCGGACATGATGATATTAAATCTGGCATTACTTTTCAAGCCCTCATTGAATCTTTGACATATGGAAAGTCGAAGGTTGTTTCAACGTTAAGCTTAGCGTACATCGAACTGGCAACTGATTATATCCGTCGCATATGAGTTGCTGCCCCGCACACATCGACAATCTGACGAAAACGGGCAACTCCCAGCAGACCAGTCTCGGGAATAACAGCGCGTACATCGACAGCAACTGGCCTCAACTACAGTGTGTTTTCTGACATAAACTGTTGCGGGCTCGCAATACACGCAATACACACACGTTGTCGGAGCGGCGCATGGAGCGCGCACATCGGTCATATCTCCGAAACTGAGGACAACTAGTTGCCGAAAAGTAGAACACGGGCAACTGACTGAAACTGGAGACCGACTGATCATCTCCAGTTGTAAGAGCGCGCACATCGACCGATTTCGGCAACTGATCATCTCCCACCATCTCCTCTCAGTTGCCAAAAGCCGCCTTGCAACTAGTTGTCCCCAGTTTCTATGTCGATGTACGCTAGGCTTTAGTCTTTCAAACTTCAATTTGTGTTTAAATCATCTTTTGTTTTTCTACTCTCCCCTGTAAAGTGTGAAGTGTATAGTCCACATCAGTGAGCACTGCAGCCGTCCACACGCAGACAGCACCATGGGACGCATGACAATGAGGCACATCCCACACATGCCATTACAGGCTGTAAGTCACAGGAGCCTTGAATTCTTCAAATATGTCATACAAAAAAATGTTTTTCAATAGTAATAGCTCCAACTATATTTATAGCTCTACATTCACATGAGTAATGTATGATATCTAATGTTGGAATTGGTTGAAACAAAGGAGGGAAATAAGATCATTAAAATGGTTTGAGATTTAATTATTCCAAATAATTCTGGATATATTTTTTCTCAGTTTAAGAAATGTAGGTTGGATATGTACATGTAAATAAGATAAGAGAAGATAAGATATAGACCTTTATTTGTCTCATAGTGGGGAAATTTCAAAATCACTGTTGAGCATATTACTGCAGAATAATAAAGGTGGAAACAAGAGCACTTAGATTGCACACAGCAAACAGGCTTTATTATTTAAGATAATAGAATAAAATCAAATACTTAAGTAATAAGAAAATAAAATAAGTCAATCTCTGGAGCAATGTAGTCAGCAGGAGGTATTTACAGATGTTTATATTGTACTTTAGCGGCAGTGAATATAACCAGAATAAACAATAGTAGTAATAGCAACAAGTAAAGTGACTAGTGAATTCTTAGAACAGAAATATCAGATGAAACTGGAACTACAGTCTTTGTCAACCTAAAACTTTGTTACACCTTTTACGTCCTTGTGGCTGTTGACATAGTTGAAGAATGTAAATTGGATCCGGACAGACATAGAGGATGATGTCAGGTGGGCAAAGTATTTAAAGCCACGGCATGATGTGGCAGCTCCAGCCTCTGTCTCCGAGCAGTGTGCTGTCATGGCAGTAGCACACATCATGCATACACTGCTGAAATGAGAGATGCCAATCCATGTCTACCTTCAAAGACATGTTTGGTTTAGACTTTGGTTCTTGGTAATACAAAACAAAGAAAATACTTGTTGTACTTGCAGTACTTGCAGAAAAATTGTTAATTATCCGTGAGGCTATTATACTTGACAAGCAAGGTCTCTTGTGGTCCACAGAAAACATTACTGGATCTAATTTTAAAAAAAAGGCAGGCTGCAAAAAAATCCACCCACATACCACCCGCCCGCTCTGTATTGACTGTCCGTCACTTCTGCTTTCAAAGAGAAAATGTGAAATGCACCAACAGCCAAGCAGAGCAACATTTTAGGCTCTAAACATTTGTCTCGTTTGCTGTAAATGTCACACCTGGAGTTATTAAAGTCTTGAATTCTGCAGAAAAAAGGCATGATACAGCAGAAGGATGGCCACTAATGATGACTGATTAAGTGTCAGAGATAATATTATGCATGCTTTTAGTTTTATGTATGCAAATGTATCCTGGTGGTAGCAGAAGCACAGCTGTGAGGAGGATATAGTTCTTAGCTGCTAATCGATGCCACAGGGCTGAGAAAATCCCCGCCTTTGGTTTAGAAATTGTTTTCAAACTAAAGTAGCACCCAAAGGTTTATCCCCCACCAGGGCTTTCTATATCAAGGCATTGCCACCCCCCATACTGAAATGGGAAGAGGAAAAATACTCAGATAAAACACTTAATGAGGTTGAAATTCAATTTGAGAAGCAAGAGAAAGGGCTAAACTAGAATCAGGAGCATAAACACAGATCCATCGAATCCAAGCATCTCAATTCAAGTGTGCTTGTTTGGGAAGTAAATGAAGAATCTTATGGCTGTCAAGCACACTGCTATTAAATATGTTTTAGTTTTAGGCCAATCTAGAATCTCAACTAGTTTAGAATGTTTGTCATTGATATGTCACTGTCAATGTCCACTTTTTCTGTATAGCACATTTACCACAACACCAGCTGCCCAAAATGCTTAACAGGCACAAAAGATAAAAAGCAAACAGCATAAAATACATACAAATGCATGTAAAAAGTAAAAATCAGTTGGTGCTAGAAGCCAAGGCGTAATAATGTGTCTTCAGATTTAAAAACCACCTTATATTCAGTGTAGCGTGTTGGGACAGTAATTATAGATGAGAAGCTCTTTCCAAGACAATTCAAGTATTAATAGTCTATTCAAATATTAGAAAAATGTGACATTATTCCAGACAATTTCAAACATTAAGCAGCATTCACAATTTAACAAAAAAGCTGCAAATCAATTTATTTGATTCCACCTGCATTTACAGACTGATCTCCAACTCTAAAAGTACAAAGTCAACAGAGACAGCAGTAGATTTTTTTTTTTGATTACATGAATCAGAGCTATGGAACATTCCAGGCAAAACAATCATGGAACCAGAAGAAATAAATAAATGGCAATTAATTTACAAAAAAAAAATTGTATAGTCCTAAATCATAACAGCAGGAGCACTTATCAATTTACTTGAGAATCCAACCATTTGAACACAGGAAATTCAATAATAACAAACAGTGAATAGTGAGATGACCAATGTTAATGTCCATTAAAAAAATACACACAACACATTAGTGACTCAAATGTGCTGAAATAGTCAAGTAAAACAAGCGGTCGTCAGTTTCTTATTAAAAGCTTTGAAGTCGACAAGTCTGATGAGTGTCTGCTTTGTTTACTATCTGAGCCGGTTTGAGCACTTCTGTTTTCCAGATACAATATATAGACTCTTAGAATTTGTATTGGCATTCAGACTGAGTCCAGATTTCCCTGTAGAGTTGTCATTGTTCTTCAGAGCCTGACTAAGCTGTGAGTGTTTGTACCTTGACTGTCCAAAGAAACAGAATTTAAATCCAAAATCTCTGTCTTGCAGCTGTCCAGAGCCGGCCCGGTGGGATATTTTGATGATATATTTGTAAGTGGCTCTTTTAAGGTTCTCAAACATGTCTTATATACTTTTTCCTTCATTTGCATTTTTAAGATTCCTCCAGGTTCTTTTCATAATCTTAATGTATTTCTGTCAGCTGCTGTTTCCAAGCAAAACAATACAGTACTAGCTGGACTATTAAGCACACTTTTACACAAACCGCACCAGCTACATTTTAAATAATTTTTGTCCACATACAGTATATGCAGCAGGATTTCATGTTGTAATGTTACATGTAACCAATAGCTGATAGAGCAAAAACAGTTAGACAATAGAGGGCTGTTTTAACTGGTCATCATATTGTCATTCTGGTATAATATATACTACTTTGACAATAAATGTGCATCTATGACTAAAACTTGAGGAGGTTTATAAACTTACTCTGTAGTTCTGTTCTGACAATAGCCCTATCTATCTATCGAACTATAGCCGTAAACCATATCTTCCTAGGAGGGTGGTTGACTACAACTACTACTCAATCACACACTCATTCATCCACATTAGCAATAGCTCTAATCAGATGAAAACAATTCCTGTGTATTTCCCTGCTCTTCCTTGTGCCCTCTCTCTTCCTGCTGTTCACATAAACTCACCAGGAAGCAGTATGTGCAGTGCCAACCCAGCAAGTTTTGTACATTTTGCGAAAGACAAAAATAGGATCTCTTTTCCAACCGTTTTCAACAGTGTAAATATGTTGATAACAGAAGATTTTTTTTTTCTGAGAGGTGTTTTGAAGTCCTTTTTCTATCAAGTGTTTGCCTCGATTCTTTTGAAACTGCTTAAAAACAGTAAGAAAGATGTGTTGGCATACAGTGTTCAGGAATTGCTTTTATTCGACTTTTTAATCTCTTGATGGAAGAGTATTTTATTTGCTTTATCCTCATCCTTCACATCTCTCACATAATGAATAAATGAAAAGCCCTTTCATTCTGAACAAAGTTAAGAACCTGATTTTATTTCTACATTAAATGATAAGTAACTTTTTCTTAGTATGTAACACATACTACTGACTCAGACATCAAGAATGGAAGAAAATTATATTTCCCAATGAACGATACAGATTGGACTAATTCCAACAGTAATGTTTTGAGTTTGTGCCTCGACTTCAGGATCAAAATAGCATGATTTGTGTCATGCAAACCTAAGTCTGCATGACACAAATCATACAGACTTAGGTTTGCGTAATGCAATCCCAGACAGTTTATCTTCCACTGGGATACTGTAACGTTACCCTGAACATGATTTATATTCAACATTTTCCCACTTATGGTAAATTCCACATCATTCTTCTACAGTGTATACATATATATTTGTGATTGTGCACAAATACAACATCAGAATATTGTATCCATCCAAACACCTTTATACCTTCAAGCATAACACTAGCTCCCCTTTAACGACAATGACTGCCCAAGGTTCACATGTGACTGGAATGCATCGAGGCATTTTTGGATATTTCAATAGATTTATTGAGTCATCCCGATTCCTGTGAGATGACCTCTGTCTGATCTTCCTGTTTTAATACATTATATATTTAGCACTATCCAAAAAAAAAAAAAAAAAAAGTATCTTGAGAAATAATTCAATAGGAATCCTTCAATTTGGAGTCCTTAAAACAAGCTACTTTAAACCTTTATGAAGATAGCCTTGCCTAAATAAATTCACTCCCCAAGGAAAGAAATACAGTCCTAAGTATTGCACTTTATTACACAGAGGCCATTTCTAAGAAACCTACAAAACAAAGCTACTCATGGCCTCAATTGGGAACAGGGACAGGGAAGAAAAATTGCGTTATACTGTACTGTGCAGTTCCATTGTTCATGTTCATCACTTCATTAGCACCTTTACTAATGCACAAACATACCATGTCTTACCAAATGAAATAGTAACAACATATTAAATAACAAACTACAATCTATTGGGTGTTTTATGCCAAGGATCAATCAATTAGCAAAAAGAACTCACCTCAGTGGCATTCATAGCAACAGGATGCATATATTTAGCCATGGCTTGTCCTATGACATAGTGATGCCTGACACCCAATCTTCCGGCACCAAAAGCCACGACGGAAACTCAAAAAGAGCCTAAAAATAACTGTCTCAAGTGACAAAAGACTGACCACCATTGCTCAAAGACAGACGACCTACATTACATTAACACCTTTTAAATAGTTAATTTCGTCGAAGGACAGTTATACGTATTGGTCTTTACCCCAATAGTTACAAGTTGCTAATGTTAAGGTGAACATTCTCCGTCAGTTCATGTCTCTACATCATAGTCAGGACACACACTTTTTCACTTGTCAACCTTTGAACATGTCACTTCTCAACTTGTTTACACACCTCTTTCCCATTCGGCTGCCTGCTTCTGTTACGACAATGTGTCACTGCCAGGACGCCTCTGAGCGGAACTCCATATCACATAGGATCTACATCTTATCCTAACAAGCCTGGAGAAAATAGACTTCTAAGCATATGCCAGCCAGGTCCGGTTTAGGTCCGTCTATCATTCATCAATTTGTAAAAAATTCACACCTTGATAATTCTTCTGTTGAATGCATCAATCCAGATTTGTCATGTCCAATACCTTCACACTTTCAATATCTGCCAAGAGAACATATGAACCAATACCATTGAGGAGACGAAAAGTATATATTTTTTCACCTCAAATCAAAGCTATATGATTGGTTTGTTAGTTCATGCCATTCCTCAAAACTTTATTGGAGCAATTGCATGATGAGTTTCTAATGATGTCAAACGTCTTCTCATATATATTTAAACTGACAATAAAGGGATGTTTAAAAAAAAAAAAAAAATCTATAGGACTGTTTCTTAATTGAACACATCTGTTTGACTACTACAACTAAAGTAACATGCCGACATGTGCTTGATGGGCTAAAGCTGACCAGTCCAAGGCCCTTTGTT